GGGGCGGCAAGGCTCTGACAGGTGTCGATTGCAAAGAAAAGAAAATGGATTTTTGACGGAGCAAGCAGATGACTTACTGCTATTGTTTTGGTAAACCAGAAAGAAAAAAAAAACACTGCAGCAAAGTGCATCTAAAATCCAGCTTGAAGAAACCTCTGAGTTCCTAATGTAGGTTCACAAATATAGCAACCATAATGAAATGGATGCTTTTTAATGATTTCCTATAATGGTGTTTATATATGGAAGCTTTTTACCCTATTGAAGCAATTTAATTGGAAAATGGCAAAGGAATAAGAGGCAGGCAGCCAGGTCCAATCAACAAACACGCTGCCTATATCTATGCTGCAGTTTAATGAGCTCTGCCAAGTTGTCTGTCCCATAAGTGCCTGCTTTCTTCAAGGGCTCAATAGAGAGCCCTCTCATACCGACTCCTCCTTCACCTCCCCACTCCCATCTAATCCTCAAGTATCCACTCAGCCGAGGCTTCTGCGAAGTTTCCTCCCAGGATTCCACCTTGCCGATTCTGCTCCGACTGTGGGTCTTTTCTATCGAACTATCCACATCCTGCAAAGACTTGTGACAAGGGATAGCATTCATTGCTACTTGGGTATTTGAGGAGTCCCTGGGCGTCATCAGATTGGCATACAAGGTTGTCAAAATGCCTGCTCCGTACAGCCTGCTTTCTCACGTCAGACAGCGACTGGCAAGATGCAAGGACATAAAAGCAAACAGCCTTTCCTCAGACAGTGCCAGCTGCTAGGAAGGGAGAGATGGCATGAGGAGTGATTCTGCCGACATGAGAAGGGAACCGGAGTGAAGGAGAAAGCTACACGTGTGCTGTGGCAAGGGGCACTTCAGGAGAAGAGACCGTTCACGCACATCCTGGAGGGCAGAATCTGGTCCGCTTGGAGGGACTGTAGGAGACCGGGAGTGGATGAGGACTGAGGGGCAAACAGAGCGGAGCAGACACTGCACTGCGTGTGGTGGCAGGCTCCGGGCTTCGCGGGACCCCGTGGTGAGGAGTCTGGAGGTCGGCCCAGGTTTAAGAGGTTGGAACATGGGAGCGCAGCCATCTGATGGCAGCATCTGCCTTTCTGCCCCAGTTCCTAACAGAGCACACAATGAGTTTGTAAGATGACTAAAGATTCCTCTGTGCATGCAGGGAATGCACGCTGTCCTTGGCAGAGGCCATACTCCCGCAGAGCGCAGGACTGCCAGGAAAGGCTCTGCCAGTACAATTCACACACATTTCCAAGTGAGGCACGGGATGGGAGGAAGAATGATGAGGGAAAATGGAGATGCCTCCCCATGCGGATGGACAGCTGCGAGCTCCGCCTTGGGGAATCAGTGTGACAGATGCCATGTCGTGTCAGGCGCTCCGCGACGTGCCCCAGGAGAGAGGCCCGCTGAAGTAGGCTTGTGCCTGCATTTCCCAAACTTAATTACGTGACTTTGTCAGACAATGGGTCACCTACTAAATCCATCAAATACAATCTGAGAGAAGCAAATGTAGGGTGAGTGCAGGGCTGGTCCTCTGCAGCGACGGAGACACCAATGGCTGTTTGAATTGGCTTGGGCTGCCTGTGGCTGTAGCTGGAACGCACGGTAAAGAGGCTGCCGAGTCGAGACAATTACAGTGCTGACCTGAACTTAGCCCTGTGAGACTTTTGCCTGAAGGGTGGACTGGTGGCAGATGGCTGTCTGTGTTACAGCATCAAGTCTGAACCCTGGGTTCAGATACATGGGAGGGAGAGAGATTAGGCACAAAGCAAAGACCTGAACACAGACCTCAGACTTTATCTTCCAACTGCTGAGCCTGAAGGTGTATCTTCACTCTTGTGTACACTGTTGTGTAGTGGAAGCTGGTCTCATTTAAGCACACCTCTCAATGATGGGTGCAGCTAAATCCATTATATGGCCCTCTCAGCACTTCAGACTGCTTAACACTAATTCCCCATCAGATCTTGACACCGTGATGCGCCGACCCTCGATTTCTTTCAGCATCTTCAGACAAACAGGCCCATAGCATCATTTATTCTTTCCAATAGGATCTTTGAACATACGCCACAAACCACGCCCTAGACTAGGAGATGAAGCACCGCACAACTGCCTAACAGACTTTAATGGGAGAGTCAGGCAGAGAGCAACATGACCTGCAATTTCAATGTTTTATAAGAAGGAAAAAATACTGCATCAACAAAGTCAGCATGGCATTCACACTCTGGGGATGATCATTTCTGAGAATGATCATCTACCCCGAAACTAATGGAGAGAAGCACCCCTGCCTCAGACTCCTGCTGCGTGCTGCTAGCAGCTGTGGCCCCAGGGGCTCAGTCTCCAGCTGACTTCACTTATCTAAACATCAACTTCTGCTGTGTGAGTCACAACTTGATGTCTCCCCAAAGTTTTCTGTATCCCAGACACTCTGCTTGACTGCTTAATCTCAATATCTATTGTGTTCTTAAATATCTGTAGCCCAGGTATCTCAAGACACCCCAACTTATGCCCCACAAAAGGCAGATGCACTCCACCTGCCTCTTTTCCCTCTGCAAAATAAAAAAAAAATCTGAAAGTAAATCACCTGGTCCATCTCACCACGTTCCAACATTGATGAATGGCCTCAATACGCATGCACTGTGCACACCAGAATCTTAGGAGACATCCACATTCCTATCTGTATTTATTCTGCTTCCAGTTGGTGGTGTATTGAAAGAAAATAGCTCCCAAAGGGAATGGCACTATTAGGAGGTGTGGTCTTTTGGAGTAGGTATGGTCTTGTTGGAGGAAGTGTGTCACTGTGGAGGAAGGCTTTGAGATCGTATATATGCTCAAGCCATGCCCAGTCAGTCAGTCCACTTCCTGTTGCCTGCAAGTCAAGATGTAGGCCACCTGGCTATTTTTCCTGGTACCATGGTTACCTGCACACCACCATGATAGTAATGGACTGAACCTCTGAACTGTAAGCCCCCAGTTAAATGTTTTTCTTTATAAGAATTGCCATGGCTGGAGAGATGGCTCAGCAGTTAAGAGCACTTGCTGTTCTCCCAGAGGTCCTGAGTTCAATTCCGGTAACCAGATGGTGGCTCACAACCATCTGTAATGATATCTGGCACCTTCTCCGGGCCTGCAGGCATGCATGCAGAGAGAACACTGCATACATAATAAATAGATAGATAGATAGATAGATAGATAGATAGATAGATAGATAAATCTTTAAGGGGTTGGAAAGGTGGCTCAGTGGTTAAGAGCACTGAATGTTCTTCCAGAGGACAGGGGTCAAATTCCAGCACACAAGTGGCAGCTCACAACTGTCTGTAGCTCTAATTCCAGGGTACCCAACACCCTCATATAGATATACATGCAGGCAAAATACTAATGCACATAAATAAAAATTTAAAAGAATTGCCATGGTCATGGTATCTTCACAGCAATAGAAATCCCAACTTAAACACAGTTCTTAAGCAAATATTTCCCAATTTTTCTGTACCCATCTTCTTTTCTATATCTCAACTACCACTATCCAATTTCTAGCAACAATCTGGCCTGCCTAGACTTTTCTAATGGTTTCTTAACTGATTTACCCAACACACGCGATCTATGGATTTGCTTTCCACATTTAGAGTGATTTACAGTGCAATTGATAATCTCATGCCTCCCGACACTGTTAAATCTTTTAGAAGCTTCTTATGTTTTGGAGTAAAGATTCCAACATGTTCCACAAGACACTGAATGATCTGGCCCCTCCCTACCTCTCCAGCCCTCATCTTCACATCACGATGACTCTTCACCTTCCTGGATATATTACCCATCCTCACCAAACTGCCTCACTTCTTCCTTAAGCTGCTTAATTGACACGGATTCTCTGGATCTTAGTATACATGCTACTTCCAAGATCCAGAACTTCCTAGAACCTTAGACTGAATCAAACTTCTCTGATAGTCTCATGGTACCATGATTCATGATGTTATAACACTTATATGAATATATAATCAAACATATGTGCAATAGTCAATTTAAAAATGCCGATTGCTTTCCAACTCAATTTTCAGTTCCATGAAAACTCAGTACACTTTTCATCCTTCTCCTGGCTCTTCCTCCACCTCTTACTACACATGAACATCTATCTCCAAAGATGTGGAATGCTTCACTCTTCTGACTTTGCACCCATTCAATCACAGAGTTCACTTTGGCTCAGACAATGGCAAATACACAACCTTAGTCTGTCTCAAGAATCCAACAGGCATTCCAAAGCAAACCAACAGTAGACAACATTCCAGCTCTGACTTTCATGCTATTTGGCATACAGTAAACAAAGTTCATGAAACAACAATACCTAACTCTACTGCTTCCCTATTTGCTTTCATTTCTGAAAGACTTTATAAATCTAATCCCAAACCCAGTAATAGATCATGACCTTCAGTTTAAAATACTGTGCATTAGATATCTCTACTAGGCTATTTCTCTATGAGAACAAATATAATTATTAACTATTTCTCAATTTGTTTCTCAATCAAATTTCTCACCAAGAAATACACTCGTTCTCTTAGTCATTTGAATCAATGTGATGAAGACATTTTAGATTCCTCCTCCTTACACCTCAGTTGCTAAAACCCTCTTGGCTTCTTCATCTGCAAAGTTCTGCCACCCGTTCCATCCTTTCTACTCCCGCTCTCGCAGCTCTGAAGGAGCTGTGACTAGGAACACTGCAACAGTCTTTTAACACAGCTTCCCGCTTCTAGAATTTTCAACCAGAAATGACACATATTCCCATAAATATGTGAATGAATCATATTCCCATAAAAAAAAGAATGCTAACTCAGCTCTCTAGCTCATTGTGGCCAATAAGGCAGTAAACACAAGATTAAAATGAATGTGTTTTCATCCTTCCTCGAATTCCTTGAGTAATGAAATATTAACTCAGGTTGCCTTGTGTTTCTCATGTTCTTCTTGCAACCCAGAAGCCAAAAATCCTGCTTGACATGTGGCCTGGGAAGACTCACCCATGTCAGCAGTGACCATAGTGGACTGGTTTTCAGGGATGGACACAGAGGTCTGGTCTTGGTCCATACTTCTGGAATCCTCATTGACCTCTTGTTGACTCTGGCTGAGCTCTGACCGCAGTTCTGAGTATTCATCTTCCTCCCTGCAAGAAAGGAGAGTCAGGCACCACTGATAAAGGATGTACAGCGAGTCCTTGGAAAATAGATATTGTAAGGAAGAAGCAAAGACATTTCAAAAGAAAACAGTTGTTTTGTCCAGACGGCAGGTACTGGGATTCCTTTCAGGCCTCACAGATGGTCATACCTAAAATTACATAGTGCATGAAACTTCAATGTTCCTTATGCATCCACAGTTATGTACTCAACAAGATTTACGCATCAGTCTAGGAGAAACATTTCCCTTGGAAGATTTCCTGAAGAGGTTAGACTTCTTCATCCCCCTCAAATTATGAGGTAGGAAAGAACAAAGTTTACTAACATTGAGGCTACACTGAACAAAACAATGAGGAAGATGAGAAACTGCAAATCCCACACCTTCATCTGGAGGTCCCAATGGCAACGTCCTTCCAAGAACTTGATAAGTTGGAGCTATTGAGAAACTTCCTATGTCCAGTTCACCTAGATCTCTGGATAGACAGATAGGCATACTTAAGAAGTACCACAGTTACATTCCCCAAAAGAAAAGGGTGAGAGGGATGTATTGAAGAAGAAATTTCATCCAGTGCCCTGTTTTTTTTAATTTATTTATTATGTATATAATATTCTGTCTGTGTGTATGCCTGAAAACCAGAAGAGGGCACCAGACCTCATTACAGATGGTAGTGAGCCACCATGTGGTTGTTGGGAATTGAACTCAGGACCTTTGGAAGAGCAGGCAATGCTCTTAACCACTGAGCCATCTCTCCAGCCCTAGTGCCCTGTTTCTGTAGATGGAAGTTTCTGTCCTGCCAAATTCCATCGCCATTCAGTCCCAAATAAACACATAGAGGCCTATATTTATTATAGACTGTTTGGCCTATTACCTCAGGCTTATTCTTAACTAGCTCTTACAACTTTAATTAACCCTTAATTCTTGTCTATGTTTAGCCACGTGGCTTGCTACCTTTTCTCAGGATGGCATTCTCCTCTTACTTCCTCTGTGCCTGGGTGGCAACTGACTCTTTTCCTTTCCTCGTCCCAGAATTTTCTTAGTCTGGTCACCTTGCCTATACTTCCTGCCTGGTTACTGGCCAATCAGTGTTTCATTAAACTGATACGAGTGACAAATCTTTACAGTGAACAAGAGCACTACCCCACAGCATGTTTCCTAGATTTCTGACTTGCATTTACAGATGGAAGACAACACTGAAATACAACTGTCTCATGCCCCTGTGTTCCCGCTCTCTCGCCCAGCCCTCTATGGTTAGTCAGTCTGAGTGATGATATTAGCAAGCAGGAAAGCTTCTATCTAGAATATGAACTCAATGTGTCTGCCTCCTTGGCTCCTCCATTTACCACCATCACACATGCCACATATGTCACACACAGACCAAAAGAAAAGAACAGAACTCTCTCGGGAGCATCTATTTTATAAGTGAACCCCGAAACTACATCATCGGGGATTTCATTGTGGGCACAGAGAGCTCACTAGTGTCATTCTAGTCTGAGGGAGAGGTCATCAATGAAGAAAGCTGAGGAGAGAAGACATTCCCCAGCCTAACACTCATTTTAAGCTGCCAGCAATCGGTGAGGCAATGGAGGGAACAAAGTCTATAGTCGTGGGTTTTGAGTAGACCAAGATGGTGAGTAGCTTGGGGAGGAGGCAACTGGGGAGATGCATCTATATATAGGTAAACGTGAGTATCTCTCTAAAGGTTTTGGTTCTCTCTTAAGGAATTTATCTGCTTCCCAAATGACCTTTGCTATATAGGGGGTATATGAAAACCACTCAGAAAACTAGAAGGACTTTCAAGAGTTAGTTACAAAGTCCCCAGTTTTATAAAATATGAATTAGAATGGAGCAAAAGTGAAAACAAACACGGGTTAATAAGCTATGAATGCTAATTAGTTAGACAGCTACAGAAGTCACCAATAATTGGGTTTAGGCCAGAAAACAATTAAGGGCACCCTTCTTATTAGTCACCTTTGGTCTGGAGGTTAATTGTTTGCGAGCTGATGCATCAGCTCTTCTTTCAGTCAGCATTTAAAACTGGCCTGGCAGATCCTGAACACGTAGTCCCTGCCAAGTCTGCTTTCCACCAAATGACTTCCAGGGATTAGCAGGAATAACTTCATAAAGGACTGAACAGGGAGCGGGTGTGAGAAGGAAAATATGATGCCGGAAATACCCCCTCTGGAGTGAGTGGGGAGGTGAGTGAGATCACACTCGTAATGTTGCCCGGGGCTGGAGGGTTTTCATGTCATGAAAGGCAGGCTAAGGATCCCATTCAAGGCACTGGAGCACCGAGATGAACCCAGGAAAGCAATGACTGGGCAGATTCCATCTTCCGGGAGACAGACACATCCACAACCAATTCTAACCTGGAAAGTGCTGTGAGTGGACACAGGAGTGGATACGGGAGGGCTGTCTCCAGGCTGTGAGATAGAACGCGCGTGTGCACAAACTCCGAGCTGTGAGGCGTGGAGAATGGTGAAGAGCAAGGATTTTAGTAGAGCTGTCAGCAAAGAGAATCTATGATATTAGAGGAGGCAAAAAGAAGAAGAAAACAAAAAAAAAAAACACAGGTAGTAGAAATAAAATTATGACAAAGAAAGTTTGGAGAGGCGTGGCATGGGAGTGAATACTACCACCATCTTGCGTAGAAACATAACAGCTGGAACGGCCTGACAGGAAGGGGCTAAGGTAAGAACACCTGAATCCTGGGGAAGTCTCTCCCTGAAGAATTCAAGAATGAAACGACATGCATAAACAGTAATCAGTAGAGATGGGATAGGATAGAGATCGGGATAGGTTTAGTGACGCTGTGAGATCTAAAATAGGTTAAACTCAGCCTGGACAATAGAAGATACAAGCAGCCCCAGGCCTCTCCTAAAGATGGCAAGAATTACTGATTTACAGGACGCTGTCAACCCCACCAGCATAGGTTCTGAAAGGAAGCTTGAACCTTGATCAAAAAAGAAAGAAAATACTCTGTCATGATCCTTCAGGCCAGATGCTATTGTAGTATGTACAGACTGAGTTTTTCTGCCCTCAGGAATACTGGTCCATCAAGAGAATGGACTGAGTCTGAGGACTGCTGGGTCAGGGCAATTTCCCCAAGACTAGATCACGTGTTGTGCAGGTGAAGCTGCTGGGCAGCCTCGAGTCACTGCCAGTGAAGGTGTCTCACAGAGGACCCATCAGGGGCCTCTCAAAGTACCTTCCCTGGCCTCTTGTTTTTGCTGTGTAATGTGTGTGCAGTGTCTGCTCTATGGGTATGTGAATGTGGAGTCCAGGAGGACATCAGTGGCCTTATTGAGCATTCTTCGCCCTACTGTCTCGACACACAGTCTCCCAGTGAATCCAGAGCTCTCTAACAAGCCCCAGCAATCAGGTCCTTTAGTGATCACATTCAGGTTTTTTGTTTGTTTTTCGTTTTCCAAATGGTGCTGGGATTCAAACCCCAGTCTCCGGCTTGGGCAGAAAGCGCTTTTACTAACTAAGCCGGTTCCCTCGACAGTAACTCCTAATCTTGTCGCAGATAATTTCTTTGAGGCGGAGATGTCTCCTCTCCCCAATCTACTGTTAATTCCAGGGATTAAAAAAATGAATACATTCCCCAAAGTGACTGGGTTTAGCCAGAAAAATAAAAGTTTAGATAAACCGGTCATCTACGGAGTGGATAGTTCCTAAAATAGAATTACCAAGTCTCAAGTGTTTGTCCTTGGGCTGTGAAGGATCATGTCCCAGGAGTCTAAATGTCCTCAGCTCCGTGCACTCAGAAGCATCTGAGATGTGCTTCGAGGGACTTTGTTTAGACTTGTAATCGTTAACACTTACTCCCAGCTGTAACATTAACTAAAACAAAGTCTCCGAGGGAGGCCGGCTCTAGGGTGTGCAGACACACATGAAGACCAGCAGCGGCGGGAAAATCACTATGGAAGCCTCCTAAAGGCCAGCAGAGCTACAGTTGGTATTTTTAAAGATAGGATATCCACAGCTTGGATACATGGTGTGACTTACACATTCTGCCACCGCTTTACAGTGCAGCCTAATTCCTCAGCTGAGCTCCAATGAAAACATCTTACACTGTGGCCTAAGGACTTGTTTTTCCTTGCTTTTAAAGCAGCATCTTGCTTCAGGGTAAAATTATTCAGTCTTAAAAGGGAAGCGCTGACAAAAGTCTAGTTCTCATGTGCACTAGCCTGGGAGTGAGAGTCTCTGTACACTCAGGGATGCCGGGAAATGTGACATCACAAACTGTCTTCATGCGTATCCGTCATTGCCTTGAGGCTGAAACAAATCGGAAGATGGCCTGGGTGGTCACTCATGGGCTTTGGTGGCTGTCATTCAGTTGTAGTTATTAGACCCATCTAATAACTACAACTGAGCCGACGGGTTTTCCACTTCTTTGGGTGCTTCACATTCTATCTTTCTTACAATGACAGGCAGACCTTCCTGAAATGGCTGATACAGGAAAGAAATGTATTCCTCTGAATTCTCTTAAAAGAAGCTATTGTAGGAGGTAGGTGTCGGGGTACAGTGTACAGTGTGGCTTTTTAGACTTTTGTCTCTTGTTTTCCATACGGCAGCGAGGAAAATGAAGCTTGTCTGTGAGCTTTCAGGTGAGCAACTGAACAAAAGAAATGTTCTTCATAGATACAATATTCCTTGGAAGGGGTTGTTTTGTATTTTGGGACAGGGTTTCTCTGTGTATTGCTGGCTGTCCTCCTGTAATTAGCTCTGTAGACCAGGCTGGCCTCGAGCTCACAGAGATCCACGTATCTCTGAGGGTGTGCGCCACTACTGCCCAGAAAAAAAAAATTCCATTTTTATCTTAAGATTTGCTATAAGAGCCACAGAGAAGGACTTACAAGTCCTCGGGAGGGCGTTATGTACACCACACATGAAGACATGGGGAAAGAAAAGGGATCTTTCTGGTTTTATCTAACTTTCTAGGCCCTTAGTTAATCAGAACAACACACTTTGTCAGGAGATGGAGAG